ATGTGAAAATGAGAAACAAATTTCCCGAGCGTCTTGTATAACCCACAGTTTTTTGTTTGGTGCTGTGTAACATCAGGAGATGGAGGAGGTGGGGATGGGAGCAGTGGCAGTGAAGAAAGTGGAAACGATGGAGGAGTGTCGACCATGCCTCTTCCAGCAGCAACTAATGTCCAGACCACCTACGATGCCCTGCGTGGGTTGGGGATTGTGGGTAGCAGTGCTGTTGGTCAAGATGAGGACGATAATCTGAATGGTCTTCCAGTACATGGAAGAATCAGCCTTCCCAGACATACAAAGGTACGAATGGGCTCTGTACTCGGTAGTTGGTGGCAAATAATTATTTCTGTGTCATGGTTAACATGACTGTGGTTTTAAGACATGAAATGTTTAAGCCCTTAAACATTTCTGTCATTCCTAAATGTTTGTGTTTTCTTTTTAGTTGTCCTTGAAGTAAAAGTGAAAGTTAACACTTAGAACATATCTTGATTGCTTGATTTCAAATTCATATAGTGTTAAGAATAATTCCCTTATACAGATCTTTATGAACTCGACTTTCTGAAAACAACAGGTCAATTGAATTAAGCTTGTGACAGTTATTACTCCTCAGCTATAAAAGGTTGATGGGGTATTAGTGTCACCCCATCAGGGTGACCTCAAGATCAGAGGTCAAGTTTTCTGAAACTCTTGTGAATAAAATGACTCGACAACGAGGCTATGTAGGACTTTCAAATTGATGCCATAGGTGTGTCTACTAGAAATCTCACTGAATCCCACTGACCTTGGCCTCAAGGTTAGAGGTCAAGTTTTCTGAAAGGCACCTAGGATTTTCAAATTGATACCATAGGTGCATCTATTAGGAAGCATTGGGGTAGTAGTGGTAAACGCCAATATTTTTCTTTTTGTTGTAGAAGGTGTGAAATCTATTTATCAATGCCAAATGTAAGTCTTACCTTTTTGATAGACCATAAAAGCCTTTGCAAAAGCTATGATCAAAAAAACACATTCATTTGTTCATGAAGTTTACAATTAAGTGTTTCACCGTTTGGACCCCTGATAGATGGAAAATATAACTTGGCCTTGACTGTGCGTGTTTGTTTTTTGTCTTTTTGCTTTAATTTTAAGTAAAAATGTAACTTTTTTATTTTCAGATGGGTGACCGTGTGGGTCCTGTTGGAACAGGAGAGACCAGCTCCTCTCTGGGGATGTCTGGGGCATCTCAGAGGCTTCCTCATGTCAGCTGGAGCAAGGCCCTGGACAGACAGGAGGCACTGGTAAGTATAAGTGCTATATGTAACTGCAGTTGACCAGCTCGTGGTCATTTCAGTCATGCATGGTTATACTTATTATATATTGTGCATACTATGCTGTTACCACTGTAATAGTGTTTTGCACATTTATCTTATATTGTTGAACTGAATTGTTGGTGCTTTCTCCTTGAGTACTTGACACTATATGTCAAGTACTGACAAAGCAAGGATGTTATTTATTAAAATGTACTTGTTTGGTAATTGGAGTAACAGTATTAATATTGCAAGATTATTATTATTATTAGGATTGCAGAATCAAAAGGTGAATGGGACCAGTTTGTATTTGGCTTCTATTTTAGGAAAAAACAAAAAAAGTAGAACATAAGGAAACCTAACAGTAAATTTTAGGTGCTTTAATAATCAAAAGATGGGTAACCCCAACAACTGAAATAAAAATATTCAACAGAGCT